TCCACATTCTGTGGCTGGTCGTAACACTTAGCTTAACCAATACTATTAAGCGTCTCTTAGATAAATGGAAGAGAGTATTAATTCTTCTTTATAATTACGTTTAGGGCTTAATAGTTGATATATGATTGGAGTTCTTCTCTAGGCTTCTTCGCGAATAGTACTAGTATAGTGGCTAGAGAGCTACTTACGTAGATAAACCTCTTCTTAAATAGCGACGTAAGTTCTTTTCGTAGAACTAGAAGCTCTCTACGCAACATACTATAGAGGGGTCCCTATGGCGGCTAATTATCCTTTAGCTCTAACTCGATCTTATAATCTACTCCTGGCCCTTAGTGTAGTGGAAGCTTCTTAGCTTCTTTTAGGTTATAGAACTCTTAATACCACTCTAGTAGTAGCGCTTATACGTCTACGGTCTTCTTTAGTTATTGCGCCTTATTAATAATATCTGCGATTAAAGTGGTAATGATCTAAACGCTGCTTAGAGCGTTCCTATATTTACGAACTAGGGCCGTAAACGTTATAGCGCTAACTCAGCTAACTCCTCCACGTAGGCGCTCTTCTATTAACCTCACTTAAATACTTTTTAAGTAAATAAGGATACTCTTCTTAGTAGAAGATATCGATGCGTTCTGGTAGTCTATCTTTTCTCTACTAAGGTATACGTCTTCTCTAGAAGATAAATCTATTACGTACGCATAGGCGGTCTCTTCGTACCTCTACATCTTAAATAAGAATTAGGCGACCTTTTTAATCTCTAATAGCTTACTATTTCCTCCCTCGATTATCTAAGAGGGGATCTAAAAGCGCTCTGGACGGTAGCGGTAAGCGAATTTCTTGCTAATCAGTATGTAATATAGATATCTATAATCTATAAGCGTAATAGCGTTTACTACGTTATTTATGATTAGATCTATAGTAATTAATAGAGAACCTATGTACTTCCACTAAAACTAATTCTACTTACTACGTATCTGCCAATCTATCTTTAGCGACATTAAACCAAGACTCTAGTCTAAAGCTACTCATTTTCCATTTTCCTGCTTAGTACCTGCTCGCTCTTCTTCTGCGGCTCTCGTCCCTCGTTAACTAGCGTAGGTCTCGCCTTCTTAACTTAGGTAGCGTTTTAATAGTATTTCGCGATGTAGCCTAGCTCTCCGCAACAATAGCAGTCTAGCAGAGATCGTCTTAGCTTGCCTCTAGACTCTCGCACTCAATTAACCTTCGAAGGCTCCTAGTCTATCGCTTCTAGACTAACGTCTTACTAAGCGGCCTTTAGAGGAGCTTGCGCATAGCCATAAGCCGCGTTCCTTTAGTTCCTTCTATGTAGGTAGATCTAGTATAGGTTATTAGATAGCTTAATTACCTTATCTGTATACTTCTTTAGACTTTTATTCTTTATAGTATAGAGTATTAGCTTTTAGAGCCTTTCTCTAAGTCCCTTACTAAATATTTTACAAGCTATTACTAGGCTAAACTACTATCTAGACTCTACGCGAAGTTAGTTAAATTTTATGATATAGTCGCGTATTGGCCGTCGTCCTTACTTTAGGTGCTAAAGCTTATTTAGCGTACGCTACTGCTAGTGTACGTTCTGGAAGTAGGTATTTATATACTTCTATAGACTAACTATCGTTCGTTTCTTATTCTTAAGCACCTAAGAAAGAAGAACTTAGTTTACTTTATCCTTCGTTAAGCTAAGCACGTATCGGACCTTTACGTTCTCTATTAGGAACATAGCGTAGTTATACTCTAGCTTCTCTTTATACTTAAATTTCTAACCTAGATAGGTATCACGTGTCCTATCAAAGCGCTCTAGGTCAGAAAACTTATTCTTATAGGCTGCTAGCTTGGCGGCTGTCGTTAGCGATAGTAGAGAAGTGTTGACTCTTGGGGATGACTCCAAACGTCCTTCAGCCTAGTTCCGTTCGAGTGCCTCTAGGCGGTTAAATATCAGGCTAAGTAGCTGCATTATCTGCTTCATTACTTAGGCTATAGCGTTCTGGCTAGCCTTTAGAGAACCTCCTTGCCTTAGTGAGCCTTTCCCTTCTACGACTGATGATCGTTAATGACAGCTTCGATCGTTAGTTCGATCACTACTTTCTTCTATCTATTCTCTCTTAGTATTTAGGTAATCTCGTATAGAATCTCTTCGTCTAGTACTCCTACCTAGCTCTTAGCGGTGGTATAAGCCGCTAGTTCTTTAATGTTTAAGTTCGGAACGTTAATCTCTATTGTTTAATTCGTCTTTAGATGTCTTATTTCTTTGCCTTCCGATGTGTAGAACTTCTAATCGTTCTTTGACCTTCGGCCGTACTTATCTTCTGGCTGGTTCTAAACAGCGTTTAGCTGTTATCATGTCGCGTCTCTAGGAAGACTCGCATCTTGCCGTCTCACTCGTGGGATCTCGTCTCTAATTAAGAGTAATCGCACGGCATACACCCCGTCTAATAGAGGATCGATAGAACTTCTCGTTATAACGTCCGCTTCTAGCTATCTATATACTAGGCTAAGTAGCCTTTAGATAGTTTATCACGCGACGATGCGCCTACGGCTTGGCTTTCTAAGACACGTAGAACTTTTTGATAGGTCCTAGGCGACTAGTTCGCCTGCTGTCTCTTACGGCTAAACTTCCTGCGACGCTCTGCCCTAGGTGTACTATCTTGCGATAGTCTACCTACTCGCTGCGCTGAAGGCCTTTCGTACCTATTGCAGCACCAACTCCGTATTACTAGCTTACGCTAATAACACGTTCTAGAACTTAGTTAGAAGACAGTCCGCCCTAGGCTTGTGTCTAATTAGGATTAAATACACGGTGTAAGGGGCTGCGCTCTAGAGAGCAATCGCGAGGTATATAAGAGATTGTATTTAATAAGAAGCTATCTATTCTACTTAAGTAGTATTTATTTACTTATTAGAGAAAGGTTATGCCAGAGTTTCTAAGCGCGTTGTCTGAGCGCGCTGCCTGAGCGCTGCTCGGTCTGAACGTAGTTTAGATAATGCGCGCGCAGCTTAACCCGAGATTCTATCGAGGATCTATCTAAAGGGCGTTCAGCCCGTTACAGGCATTACAAAATTGTTACTAATAGGCAATCGAGAAGAAAAGAAAGAGAAGAGGTGTTAAGATTGTTACAAAGGGAGGAGCATAAATTATTATTGTCGGAATGGAGATTTATTCCGCAAAAGCTACTTAAAGCTAGCTACACTTTATAGGAGAAATTAGAAGGCCTATCACCACGAGGCTACGAAGACACCGAAAGGAAACTAGATATAGACTGAACTAAAAAAGCCAGGCCACGAGAGGCAATCGACTAGTTACCGCGGTGACTACGAGAAGAGACTAGACCCCATGATACCTACTCGAGAGAGTTAGCCTTCGTTCGAGCCATGATCAGGACAAGGAGCAAAAAGATTAACTGTCTTTTTCGTCGGCGAGAGGCTCGCGGCGCTTGAGGGGGCCAAGCGATAAAAGCTAGGGAGAAAAATGTGGTGTAGCATCACGTGACTAGTTACTAGGTATATATTATGATTATCCTTTGTAGGTGGATAGACACCTCCTTCACTTAATTCAATTCCAGCAATTAGATTTCGGCTCTATTCTATCTTAATTTCGGGTCGCCCCTTGATCATTTGAGCTCGATCACGTATCTTGCCACAATACTTATTGCTTCTAGTCCTGCTAGTTATTAGGGTTTTAACTTGCTATCACTGATATTTGTCTCCACTTCTGATAGTTGCCATCACATAACAGCCCTGCCATCACTGATGGCACTGTCTTTGCGTGATAGCACATCAAGTGACCTAGCCCCGCGACGATCATTACCTTCTGATGTGGACGTCCATAGGCTTTCAGCCATCTCGCCATTTGTTAAGAAGAGAATCCTTCTTGTTACTTGTAAAAGCTGCCCACTCCTTTCGCGAAGACCTTTCACATGCTTCTAGGTAGTTGTTACCTATTCAAGACTGCCCCTCTCAGAGCCAAACGCGTTTCGTATACTAAAATATATGTCATTCAACATAGACCAGTCTAAGCGGATAGAAAAGTTCCGCTTTTCTATTTGACTTCATTTACTCCGCAAGCCTTCCGTACGTTCCATGTACTCGGGCCTTCTTAAATTTCCGATACCTCCCGGACATCCCGCGCCGAATCTGTATCCGCATTATCCAAACATTCAATAAGTTCTACAATAGAGTTTCACAGAAAGTCATTTCAACAACGTAGAGTGGGTAACGTTCCACTAATCTAGCACAAATAGAGCATATCATAGAGTTGCCTACAGGTATTAGTCTATAGTAACACAGCTTTAAAAATATTAGATTATTAATCGAGCGTATGGTTTGTACGCTCGCGATTGCTAATCGTGCGATATGCGGCTTTAATTTCATGATATTTGTAAGCGGTCGGAACAAGGTTAACTATCAAGACAAACCCTATGCACGTGCATTGCGGCGATTATTACCTTATAGGTCAAGTCTCTGAGATATGTTAGGGCAAAGATCTACAGGGTAACCTTGTATATCGGAATTATAATACTTTCTTATGTATATATAAAGGTAGAACAAGACTCTAGTGTTGCGTTTTCCTCCACAAAACACAATTTCCTCAAGATCCTACCTACTATCTTTAGATTTCTATCCCACGATGACCTCTTTAGGCTTGATTCGCTTTATGATACTTTCTTTGCTTTATTACACCATTATTACTGCGGGTACTTGTCCGCCTTTTAATGGTAGTTTTATAGTAAACCAGCCTTATCTCTATGCAGAGAATCTTGATTTTGATACAAAATATTGTAAAGTGTACTTTGGGTTCGTCTAGCTTATTCTACTATAAATATATGTAGAGGTAGCTAATTAACTCGTCTATTAGAAATGACTTCAACGCATCAGTCACCATCTACGATCCATATACCGCTACTCATGACATTATAACCTTTCCAGGCATTACAAACAACGCGACATTCAGCTTAGCTGGGGTTGATTTTGACCCAATAAGGGGCGTTATGTCCTTCACCGCCAGCGCTTCCGCTCCATGGACTTCTTCGGGGACCAACTTGACTGGTCCTAACTATATAATCAGCTATGATACGGCAACTCAGAGCATCTTATATAAGGCAGATATGGCAGGATTTCTAGCTACTATCCAGAAAGACACTACACTAGTTGCCAATGGTATCCAGGACTTAGCTACTGATACGCATGGAAATACCTACGTCCCAGTTTCGTTTAGTGCCAAAGCACTTGCTAGGATCACACGCGATGGGAGTGTGATAACCTGGTATGTAACAAACGAGACTAGGGCTATTAATCTACAGACTCCTACTACGTACAGCGGTCTTATCTTCCATGCGCCTAGTAATAAGCTCGTTGTCACGGATGGACCGGCTAGCACTTTTGTCACCTTTGACACAGAAGCAGCGGTTGGTGTTCCGCGTAGCGTTAAGATGATTGGGCTTCCGTCCGACTATATAGGCGTCACCTGCGATGGGCTGCTAAATCCTTCTCGGTATCCACATCGCGATGTCCTGCTCTGTTCTGAGGATTTTCTCGGAACTTCAGGTTCGATAACCGTTTTCACATCTACGGATCACTGGGTATCTGCGCAATACGTCGGTCGGGTCTCTAATAACCCTCTCGCAGTGGGCAGTATTCCCACTGCAACTGTGCAGATTGCCAAATCGCTCTACATTTGCCCTTTTTTTCTCTCTGATTTAAGCCTTCCTCTTAATGCTAGAAATCGGACGAGCTTTCCGTTTTTTGATATCACTGCGATGGTTGACGAGCTTGTAATTCCATTAGGTGTTAAAGTTATACGATAAAAAGAGGAATATAATTGAGGGCTTATAAATTGTTAAGAAAGGAAAATCTTCTACTTTAATAGCGCATAGCTTCTAGCTTGATTGCACGAAGAAAGAGAGTCCCCTTCTTTGCTTATAACGCGCTTAAAAAGTGATGCAAATTACTTGCGAGGTGCAGCGAGTGCGCAGCTACTCCATGTCCTAATTTTGAGATGATCATAATACTGCGTCGAGTTGTACATTAATAGGCAGTTTTAGTGTTAATGTTTCTCTTCTAACCCTAACTTGTAAGTAATAGCCCTAAGTAATAACCCTAAGTAGATAGGTTACTGACGTGAAGGCGCGCAGGCCAGTATGGTAGTATGCAAGACTACCTTCTTACTGCTATTTGCACCTAAATGCCGCTATTTGCACCTAGTAGCCGTTGTTTGCGCCTACCTACTACTACTTGCACGTGTGTGCTGCTATTCATATACATCTGCTGTTATTTGTATCTATATACTACTATCAACGACGGCTGACTTTACGGTAGGTAGGCCTTTATATTAGGACTCTTGGCCTTACTATTTCTAAAGATATTGTGGCACGATACGTGATCGAGCTCAAAAGATCAAGGGGCGACCCGCAATCGAGATAGAATAGAGCTGAAATCTAATCGCTGTAATTGAAATGAGTGAAGGAGGTGCTATCTACCTACGAAAAGAAATCGTGATATATACCTAGTGACTAGTCACGTGATATTACACCACAATATATAACTACTATAATTTATAACTAACGTAAAGCATCACCGAGCCGGACACTTTTCCTTAGTATTGCGAACTTAACGTACGAAACACTATGCATTAATAACACAAGGATTCTTTAACTTAGCGAGAAGGTAGAATTACTCTTACGCTTTAGGCCTTTCGTACGGGTTAATTTAAGACTCTACAAAGTGCTACTACTGCCTACAACGTATCTTTTTAACGGCTTTTAGACTAGCTTAATATAATCACCTTTTAGCCTTAAGCATCTCTAAATTGCTGTAAGCTTACTATAACTAAGGAGTAAATAATGATACGATATATTCTTAACCTAAACTCTTAAGGATTTGCGCACTAATTATGAGGTATTTGTAAACTTTATAAAAGTTTTAATAGTTATAATTTATATATTATCTTATTAAAAAGTTACTATAGTTAGTATAGTACTATTAGATAATCTAATAAACGTTTATATAAGCTAGATTATAGCTTAATATAAATAACTTATTAGTCTTAGTAAATTCTAGCTTTATAAAGATTATAATAATAATACTTTATAATATAAATAAAGTAGTAATTATCTCTATAAACTAAGGATTATAAAATAGTTTAAACTTAGTTAATAGCGTTAG